GAGACAAAAAAACATCCTTGGTGTACTCAGGTTCTATCAAAATGTCTTATGTGTCCTATTCACTCCCCTAATACTAGTGCCTAAAACTGTGCCTATAGTAGGTATGTAGTAATATTTCCTGAACAAATGTAGGGGGCTCATGGAAAGTAGTTAGTTGAGAGGATATTACTCTATTATTTAATATATACCATCATCCTATTCATTTTAATATTCCTTTTTTATCTTTCAGCAAATATTTTAGTGCACTCTTACTCTGTACAATGAGTAATATGGAGATTAGTTGGAAACACAATGCCAGTCTTCCAAATAGTTTATAATCTAAGAATATAATCTTTTGAAAATATATTCTTCTATAGTTTCTCATTAAATTACTTTATCATTAAATAACTGAAAAGAGACTATTTTTGATATAAAGTGCTATGTACTTTTTGAAGAATTTTGTATTCTTAATCTTTTTACAGGTTTTACACATTTTGCAGTCCCAGCCAGATGCAGCACATCAAATATCACAACAAGTTGGTTGGCAAGACACCTTAGTTAGGCTTTTTTTAAAAGTAAAATTTGAAAACGGAAATACTCTTCATAAGCACAGTAGAACTATTTTAATGAAAGACAATGATAAAAATATGTCAACTGAAGATACTAAGAAGAACTTTGATGAAAAAACAGATGAGGAAAAAATCACCTCTTTTGCCTCAGTTAATGTGTCTTCAGATCAGTGGAGTTTGGAGGATAGACACTCTTTAGACTCAAACACACCATTATTTCCAGAAGATAGCTCTGTGGGAGAATTGTCTTTCAAATCAGAGAATCAAGAAGAATTCTGGCATAGGAACCCTTCACATTTGAGTTTAGACCTCAGTGGAATTGACTCATGTGAAATGAGTGATAGTGGAAGTCAAGTGCCAGACAGTCTGCCTAGCACACCATCCCCAGTAGAGTCTACTAAATCGTTTTCTGTGCACTCTGACAAAGAAAGCAGCATCACAAATGATATGGGCTTTAGTGATGACTTCTCTTTACTTGAAAGCCAAGAGGTAAAATTGCTTATTTTTCCAAGTGTTGTTTTTATTTTCATGTCTGATATATACTTCTAATCCTTAGAAATATGTGAGCAGTTGTTAACAATTTCATATTATATTCATGTTCTAAGTTTCATGATCTAAGGTTTAGAAACCTAGAAGTCACTAGATTGTGAGTTTTTTGAGAGCAAAGCTGGTGTCTTACTCATCTTATATCTCTAGGGCCTAGTAAAGTTCCAGGTTTATTAAGGCACTTAAAAAATACGTTAAATTATTACAATTAGTATATGTAATGGTTCTTATGATGTGCTTTGAACAACTATACCCTCTAGTTATTTAAAATTGCTTTATATTTTCCATAGAGATGTGAGGAGGAGCTTCTTCAATTACTGACACATATTTTGAATTACGTAATGTGTAAGGGACTAGAGAAGTCTGATGATGATACGTGGATTGAACGAGGACAAGTGTTTTCAGCACTGAGTAAACCAGGAATATCCAGTGAACTACTTCGACCTTCAGATGAAATAAAACTAACGTAAGCATTTAGTTAGTGATTTTCCATCCTCCTTTTAGTGACAGCAGGAGTCTAAAATAATGTTAGTTATTGAACATTTATTCAGTATTCCGTGGATATAACAAGGGAGAAAAAGAGAAACTCTGTGCTCAGTTCCTTCTCCTGTCTTTTGCCATACTAGTAGGATCTAAAGAGGAATCCCAAACTCATTCCAATATGAGGAGGTTTAAGTCTTAAGTAAATTTGGATCGTAAGTGATTACAGATTTTTTGTTTAAACTGTTTTCTTGCAGTATTTGAGGACTTGATACATTGTTTTCTACAGGCTTGTCCAAATTTGAGTGTTTCCGTGCTAAGGGAAGGGAGTTGGGTTTTCATGATAGTTATTTCTCTGAAGGATTTAGGGTTCCTTGTAGATCAAGTTTGTCCAACCCACAGGTTGCAGGCCATATGCAGCCCAGGATGGCTTTGAATGTGGCCCAACACAAATTCATAAACTTTCTTAAAACATTATGAGTTTTTTTTGTGATTTTTTTTTTTAAGCTCATCAGCTATTGTTAAAACATATCGCTAAAATATTATTGGTGTATTTTATGTGTGGCCCAAGACAATCCTTCTTCCGGTGTGGTTCAGGGAAGACAAAAGATTGGACACCCGTGCTGTAGATAATAGGACTCTGTAGTGGTAGCACACCAGGGAAGTATTGCATCTTTTTCCCACAGGGCAAGACCCTCTGTAAGGCATAATAAGGCATTCTTCCCTAACCTTGCCGATTTCCAGCTTTAAAGAAACAATTTAAGTATCTCATGAAGGATGGAATGTGAATTATCGTCATAGCTTTTTTATAGTCAAGTAAAACAGTAAACTTTTGACTTTTAATACTATGTTTATTAAAGATAAATACTCCAAACATTTCAACGTTTCTCCATTATTGTTAAATTCCATTTATAGGCGTGGCATGGTGGCTCATGCCTGTAATCCCAGCACTTTGGGAGGCTGAGGCAGGCGGATCACCTGAGGTCAGGAGTTCAAGACCAGCCTGTCCAACATGGCAAAATCCCATCTCTACTAAAAATACAAAAATTAGTCGGGCATGGTGGCACATGCCTGTAATCCCAGCTTCTCGGGAGGCTGAGGCAGGAGAATCACCTGAACCCAGGAGGCGGAGGTTGCAGTGAGCCAAGATCACGCCATTGCACTCCGGCCTGGGCAACAAGAGCGAAACTCCGTCAAAAAAAAAAAAAAAAAACAATTTCTGTTTACAATGTCTTAGGGATACCTGCTAGAGATAGTATATCTTTAGAGATACAATGCTGCCTCTCAAGCTGTTTTGTTTTGTTTTTAATGTCCTACTATTTTTCTAAGCTCACAATGGTTTTAAGAGGACTTTGTTTTCCGTTTAGTTTGCTCCAAAAGATGTTAGAATGGGCAGTCTCAGAAAACAGAGAAGCAAAAACTAATCCAGTAACTGCTGAAAATGCCTTCCGACTAATGCTGATCATACAGGACTTTCTTCAGTCAGAGGGACTAGTTAATTCAAACATGTGGACTGAGAAGGTACAGTAATATCTCTCTAAAATTATATTTTGGGTAGTTAAGAGCTTTATTCAGAGAAAAATTTTGCTCCCCCCCCCCCTTTTTAGAGCATTAATGCTTAATCAGATTCAATAAACAAGGGTAAGATGTGATGAATACTCACAGATTTTGTTAGCTATTACTAGGATGATTCTTTTGGCTTTTGTCAGCTGAACACTGGACTAGTTTTTGAAATATTTGTGGTTTGTATTAATGTTGGGGAAAATTGATCATCAGTAAATTGAAAAACTGAATGTTTTTATTTCTCAATTTTTTTCCTTTGCGATAGCTTTTAGAGGATTTGATGCTGCTCTTTGACTGTCTGTCAGTCTGCTATTCTGAAAGTCCAGTATGGGTAAAACTCTCTCAAATTCAGATCCAGTTGCTTCTAGGATTCATTGGAAGGGGTAATTTGCAGGTTTGTCCATTCTTTTATATCATTTTCTATGCTTGCTTGCAGCATAGCTATTATTTATGTAACAAGCAAATTAAAATGTCTTTTTGGTGTTTTAAGTTTTTCAGTAGTTCTAAAAGTATCCATGATTTCATTTGGAGTTTTGAGGAGCTTGAGAGGCAACTAATTTGTTATTTCTTTCTCATATTAATAACTTTATATAATTTTAAGGCTTCCTTTTACAGGATTTATACATAGCTAGTATTAGAAGCATTGCTTGTATCATCTGTATTCGATGTAACTACTCAGGTGCTAGGTAGCCTATATAGACTGTTTATGTATGTGCGGTTTAGGGCTTGAATTTTTTAGAAAAATTATTTTTTAAATTATTCCTTTCAAATTTTTTCTGCTGTTTTACTAATTTACAATTTTACATTCTATCTGATTTTTTTTTTATTTATCACACACTAAATATCTACAAAGAACTAAGCTTTGTGCTAGGTTTTAGAAATAAAGATAAATATTGGTCACAAGGAATATTTATTATTTCT